TTCAATTCACACCTTCAGCCAACCAGAAAAAAAATACACAGTTCATTCCTGTAGATAAACTAGACAACAGTAGGATAAGAACATTTATCAAGCTGTTTGGAGTTATCCTGTGAACTTGCACAATTTAAATAAGGAGTCATCATAATAACATTTCATAAATATTGCTTTGCTTTTGCAGTCTATATTTGATTGTTTAAACTCCGCCTACATTCCAAAATCTATTGCATCTTCTGTTGCTATGTACAGAATGCTCATTTTCAAATGTTTAAGTCTGTCCCAACATCTCTCTCTCCTTCACACACACTATGAACTCCCCTGTCTCCACCCCTGTTGAGATTCCTTTTCTAGAATAGGGTCGGTTTCTACCCTCATTCTGCAAAAATGAATGCCTGTCTATCATGGTTGATTGCGATATTGCTTAAGATCATCCAAAATGCAGCTTCTAGACAGGCACCTCCTCAGGGCTTCCGATATGTCTCTTACGACGTGATCATCCCAAGGAAGCTGTCTCCCAAGTATGGGCAAGAAGAACCCCAGGATTTGAGCTACCTCCTGCAGATTGAAGGGAATCCCCATGTGGTATTCCTCAGGCAAAGAAGGAACTTCATCCCTAAGGTCTTTCCTGTCTTCACCTATGACACAGCAGGGATTCTCCAGGTGGATCACCCTTTTATCAAGGACGATTGTTTCTACCATGGATTTATACAGAGAAAGTCCTCTTCTCGAGTCACCCTCAGCACATGTTCAGGAGGACTGAGAGGTCTCTTGCAAATTGAAAATAAGACCTATGAAATTGAACCAGTCCAGCAATCTTCTACCTTTCAACACGTGGTGTTTCGGTTAGAAGTAGAGGAAGGGGCTGTCCGAATGCCTTGTGGGGTAGGACAGGAAGAGCAGAGCCATCAAGAGGACATAACTCCTGAAACAGAGAATCTTGCAAACAAAGATGTTTTGGGAAAATCCTGGTGGCCACATACGAGATATGTTAAAGTGGCAATTGTGATTGATCATGAACTATATTTGCAGTTTTACAGCAATGAATCGTTTATTACTATGCGAGTTCTAGATATTGTCCACACTGCAAATTCATTCTATGATTCCCTTTCTGTTCATTTGTCAATAGCAGGATTAGTGATCTGGTCACAAAACAACTCCATAAACATTACCTCTTCATCAGGTAGCACACTTTCATTGTTTAATAATTGGAGAAGAAACAATCTTCTTAAAATTTTAAAAAATGATGTTGGTCACTTATTTGCATATAAGTATTTTGGGTCAATCGTAGGACTTGCATATGTTGGAACTATATGTAGTAGTTATTGGGCAAGTGCTATCGAATCCTATAGAACTCAAAGTTTGTTTATGATTTCTGAAATATTTGCCCATGAACTGGGACACAATCTTGGAATGAGACATGATAGTCAATTTTGTCATTGTGGAAAGCTTAAATGCATTATGGCACGATATGCAGCACACTCTGATAAATTTAGTAACTGCAGTTATAAGGATTATTTCTACCGTAGAAACACTGACTGTTTATTTGTCCCACCAGACACTGACACAACTTTTACATTTGAATACTGTGGTAACAAAATAGTGGAAAATGGAGAGCAGTGTGACTGTGGGTCAGAAACACAATGCAAGTCAGATCCCTGCTGTCAAGCTAATTGTATGTTGCGCCCTGCTGCTCTTTGTGCCTTGGGTCTGTGCTGTGCTAACTGCCAATATTGTCCACAAGGAACTGTTTGCAGACAAAAAATTAGTAGTTGTGATCTTCCTGAATATTGCAATGGAACTTCAGGACACTGTCCAGAAGATGTGCATGTACAAGATGGTGCCCTGTGCCATGATGGCGTGTATTGCTATCACGGGAACTGCATAACTCATGATATGCAGTGCAAAAT